ATTGCACATCTGAAGTCAACATGACGTTGTGTACATGGAAAATCCAAAGGATGTACATATAAATTATTAAAATTAATCAGACAAGTTGGCCAGATTGAAGAATAAAGGGGCAAATGCAATGTTTAGCAGAAGTGGTAAGGGTGAGCATCTTTATCTTATTCCCAATCTCATAGGAAATATTTTCAATACTTAGTATTGTTGCTATAATGTATTGCTAGTTTCCTAAATTTTCTCCTCATGAGTGCATGATAAATTTATCAAACTCTTTCTTGTTTTGCATTCCTGATAAGTCACCTAAGTTGTGATGTGTCATCCTTTTATATATTGTTGGATATAGTGTGGTGACATTTTGTTTAGAATTTTTACACCTATATTTATGAGATAGGCCTGCCATTTTCCATTCTAATAAAGCCTCTGACAGATTTTGGTGTCAGTGTTATGGTTGGAAATTAGTTGGAAAGTATTTCCTATTTTTTTATTCTCAGGAAGAATTTTAAGATAAGCATGGTTTCTTTCTTAAATACTTGATATAAAATTCACTAGTGACATGACTTGAGACTAGAGAATTCCTTTTGTGAAGTTTTTAACAACAAATTCAATTTTTCAATACTTCTAGATCTAGTCAGATTTTCTATTACTACTTGTGTCCATCTTGGTAAATGTTATGTTTGTTAAATTCTCTAGAAATTTATTCATTTAAGTTCTCAATTTCGTTAGCATTAAGTTCCACATCATATCCCGTTAAGTCCATAGAATATGTAGCATTATTTCCTTTTCCATTCTTTTTCTTGGTAATTTATGATTTCTAACTGTTTTAATAGGAAATCTTCACATGGCTTTATAATTTTTTTTGTCTCATTTCAAAGAATAACCTTTTTAATCCCCTTGTATTATGTTTGTTTCCTATTTCACTTGTCTGTTCTCATCTTTATCATACCTTTACACTGGGAGGGGAAGGAATTTGCTCTGCTTTTTCTAACTTCCTGAGATGGATGCTTCATTGTTTGATTTCCAGCCTTTATTTTTTTTCTCATGTGTATCTAAAGCTTTCCATTTCATTTGAAGCGTTGAATGCATTTCACAAACTTTGACAGGAGGTATTTTTATTACCATTCATTTAAAACTGTATTCCAGTTTCTGGTGCAGTATTTCTTTGATGCATGGGTTTGATTTATTTCCAAACACAGTGTATGATTCAGGCTCCACTGCGTAGATAAAATGAAAGAAGAAAACGAGTGTACGTACAGAGTCAGTAACTAAATCACTGAAAAGGCAAGAAGGGAACTCTTAAGGTATGATGGAGGCAGCAACTGCAGCAAGCAGCAACCACCCTGAGGTCTGGGGAAACAAAGTGAAGAGGTAGGATTATTACAATTTAGAAGCTTGGAGGAAGATCCTGCTGTCCTGAAACTCAATCCTCTGAGGAGGGGAGGTTCAGCTGGTTCTGGTGTCCCTGAGCATGAGAAGCAGGACCCTGTAGTTCTGGCATTTAGACATCTGAGGGACAGGCTTTGGGAAACTATTGATAATGTCTTTGAAGAGCCATGATGAAACTGGTTATTCAAGTGTTGGAAAAACTGCAAATTAGATTGGGCAGCCGCTACAGGAAAGAAACACCGCTGCCTAGAAGCCCACAGGAAGTAGCAAGTATCTTCTTCCTCCCCCAGCCTTGCAGTCTCCTGCTATTGGCAGAACCTAATGTAGAACCAGATGGCAAAGCAGAAAGATTGGCTGCAGGTTTCCCATTCCAGCTCCATAAAGCCGAGTAAAGATGAGTGGGTGTGGAGCTAAGAGATAATAATTTATTAAGCGCATGCAGGAGAATTTTTTAAATATCTTTTTGTTATTGATTTCTGGCTTAATTTCATTGTATTCAGAAAGCATATTTAGTATTACTTCAATATGTTGAAATTTGTTGTTATTGCTTTTGGCCCACTATATTGTCCCTTTTCATATGTGTGCTTGAAAAGACGTATATTTTATAGATGTTACCAGAACCTTTTGTTACCCTAGCCTCAAATGGGTATCAAAAGTGCTATAGAGCTTCTAGACTTTCCAGCTTCTCGACTAAACTGTCATCCTTAGGAGAAAAGTAGCCCAAAATGCATGACTCCCCAAACTTTTCTGAATTTTAGCCCACTACTTCTCCATTATCTTGTCTTTTGATGCCTTCTGACACCTTTAAAAAAAATGTTCATCTTTCATCTGCCACATGTTTCTTCCAAATTACCTATTTCATTATTACTGGAAGTATACAAAACATTGTCTATTGTTTTTTTAAAAATTTCCTGTAATTTTATCCAAAAAACTCCATATTATCAGACTAGTCTTCCTGAATATATAAACTCTTAGATGAGTTTTGTTTTGTTTTGTTTTGTTTTTCGGGTGAGGAAGACTAGCCCTGTGCTAACATCTGTTGCCAATCCTCCTCTTTTTGCTGAGGAAGATTGGCCCTGGGCTAATATCCGTGCCCATCTTCCTCTACTTTATATGTGGGATACCTGCCACAGCATGGCTTGATAAGTGGTGCGTAGGTCCGTGCCTGGGATCCGAACCTGTGAACCCCGGTCCACCAAAGTGGAGTGCACAAACTTAACCACTATGCCACCAGGCCAGCCCCTAGATGAGTATTTTTAAAAGCATTTCCTTTGGGGAGGGGTTGTTAAATAAAGAATCATTTTATAATTTATAATCATTTTATAATTTATAATGATTTATAATTTCTTAAAATGGTTCCCTTCCTTTAAACTCCTGACTATTTTCACATAATGGCTGTTACATCATTTTTCTTTTACTCCTCAGTGAGAGTACTTGCTCAGCATTTGAGATGGTTTCAGTTCGACATCGTATGGGACCTTGTTCAGCTATTGCCAGCACCACATTTTCCTTATTCTTGCCAAAAATCTAGACTTTAGCTTCTAATTTACAGAAAATATTGAAGTTTCAGGAGAAAAAATGCCAGATCAAGAAAGCCATCAGACAAATCCAGAATGTGAGCAATCCTACATGCCAACTGACATACTTACTTCAGCAGGGCAAAGGCATACAAAAAGATGGAAGGGGAGCTGTTCTAGATTACAAGAGGTTCAAGCAACATAACATCAAATACAATTAATGTACCAGCATAAAAGAAAACAAGATGTATTTCTTCTCCAGGAGAAAAGTGGGCACTTAAACTTTCTCGTCTCTTTTTGCTGCTAAAGTTCACTGGATTAAGCCATTATCTCATCCCCTGTCCTCCCTGAATCACCATGTCCTCCATAAGACAACTCATGGTATTTATGATATCAAGAGCAGGGTGAAAATAGGTGATGTGATACTAGAAGCTTAAAGAAGAAAAAATTTCAAGATTTTAGAAAGGATTTATCCCTTCTTATATTTTTTGTGTATCAATACATCTCCTTCTGTAACCGGACTGAAAAGTCCCATGGCCCAGGTTCTTGGTCAGTGTAAGAGAGGAATTCAGACACCGACACAAAGGCAACAGCAAGCAAGCAGAGATTTATTAGAGGAAAGGTCAGATACACTCCAAGTGAGGAGCGGGCAGTGCCAGAGAGCACATCTGCCCCATGTCTCGGGTTGGTTTTATTTTTATTTGGGCTGTTTAGAGGGAATTTGCATTATCTGGTTATCCGCCAGTAATGGTTTTCCCTCCACCCACACTTTGGGAGGGGGAGTTCTTGACCTTTTAGGGGAGTCTCCGGAACTGTCATGGCAGTCAGCCCCCAAGGAAGGGGGGCTAATGCATATGGAATTTGTATTGTAAATTAAAGAAAGGTCGCTGTCCTCTAGAGGTGTACAGCAGAAGGCTTTGTTTTGTGCACTCACTATTTTTATCGTGGTGGTTGAAAGCCTCACACTCTGGTGCTATCTGTATCTTATGGGATGCCAGCAAGACCCTTCTTTGGTGTAGCGAGGTCTCCAGCTGTGATTCCCTGCTCTGGTCTGGATGCCAGTAAGATGCTCCAATGATATAGCAAGGTCTCCAATTATGATCTCCTGCTCATGTCTACCTGGCTACCTATTTCACTTCCATTTGCCTTATGACACACATTTCATAATCAGCAATTAAAGCCAAGAAAATGTGAGAAACATTTGCTGCTTCTGCTTTATAGCCTGATCAATGGTTGCATTTGTTCCTTGCAGATTCTTGGCATCTACGTCCATTCTGTGGATCTTGGAATATGCAGCTCAAGGTAGGTAGTTCTGTCAGAGTTCTAGATGCATTCACACCCATATAGAATAAAAAAGACAATGCAGTCAAAGTAAGGTTGAGATCCCGTTTTCCTTCAATTCGGTGCCCAGTTCAGGTCAGCACAATTTCCTCTCACTATTTGCATTTTTCGCCCGCACATCGATTCCTTTCTATAATGTTTTTTCTTCCTTCTTTCTTTCGCATCCTTCAAGCTTCTCTAGTCTTGCTTTATGGGGTAGTTTCTTGGAATAAATAGGTAGATAGAGTTTGCTTTTATTTTTGTCACGTTTGGAAAAAAGGATTTAAAAAAAAAAAGGCGGGGGAGGGGGTGGCCAAGCTCGACTAACAGTATAGAATTAATTTAGACTGACGATGCAAAAGAGAATACCGACACTATCCAAATACTGACTGTCCAAAAGAGAAAGGGCAGCCTTGCAGAAAGGGCTGCCGCGCAGGAGATTCCGGGAATTGTAGTCCAGAAGATCCACAGGGTCAGAGACAATGACTCTCCCGAAGAGGCGCCTTGAATGCATGGTCTGCTGGAGAAAATACAGAAGCATATAACAGAGCTCTCTCTGGACACATTTCGGCTCCAGGAAGGGGGGTTTACGAAACTCGTTCCGGACCCAGGCGCTGGGACATACAGTCCTGATTCTCCACGCAGCAGCCGGCACTTCCGCCCTTGGAATGCGACGCAGTTTTCTGGGAATTCTGGGAAATGTAGTTCGGGAGCCCGGTAGTTGGATAACATCGGCTGCGGGAGGATGAGGCTGTGTCCCTGCTCCCGGCGGGAATTCTGGGAAGCGTAGTCCAGGAGGTCTCTGTAGGCAGAGTCACTTCCGCTCCAGGTACGCGAGGCCGCGGCCTTGGCTCTTCTCAAAGAGGTGAGCTCTCCCCTTCCCGGGCCCTCGCCCCGCGTCCACGCGGACCCTTCTCCGCTTTGCTGTGGGCCGGTAGCGCCCAGGCCCGCGACCTTGGGGAGGAGAATCCGCCTGCGGCGAAGGGCGGGGTTTGCGTTCCGTTGAATGAGCCTCTGGAGTGTGGGCGGCGTGCATCCCGGCGCGGGGTCGGGCCGGGGTCGCGCGGCGCTGGGATCGAGGGTCTCCTGGGTTCTGACTTTCCCAGCCCTCCCCCGGCCGCCGGCCGGCGCCGCCGCTTCCACCGGTATGATATTGGGCCCGCCTCTTCACGTCTCTGCCCCTCTTTCCTCTCCTTTAAGTTGCGTTCAGTGTCTTGCTGATGGAGTAATTTAGAGAGGTAAGTGAGAATGTAGCCGTGGAAGACTTGGGACAGAGCCTGGCTTGTGGTCGAAAACAGGTCTCTTGTTACTTCTACTTTTTAATTTCCGGAGAAGCGCTCAGTTCCCTGAAAGCTTCTGTGAACCCGGGATGGGGGTCCCATCTCTGCAGGGTCCCTGGCCCTTCTCTGATCCCTGAAGGAAGCGGGGCTGTACCCAGATTCCTCATAATTTTTTTAACTTTTAATTTTATATTATTTTAAGGGGAGGGTCACTGCTGGGTGTTGTCTGGGATGTCCACTGTCATTTATGCGGAGTTCTGATGAAGTTCTGATTTCTTTCAACCTCTTTTCCTTCCCCAGCCTTGACTTCCTGACACAGGCTGCAGGGAGGAGGGACTGACTCTGGCTTCTGGCAGCAGAGCCTCACCTGAGTAGGACTTAGCATTTTTCTTCCTCTTATGTTACCTCTTCTCAGGGGAGAAGATACTTCCTTCACTCATCAGCAAATTCTTTTGCTAGGAAGATGCCCTGATGTTTGTTGAATAAATGCAGGAAGGGATGGGGGAGTACTTGGGCATGAGTAATAACCCTACTATTTAAACATTTAGTGCTAAACGTTATTCTAGGAGTTTTATATGAATTAACATATTTAACCCTCACAAGGACCCTATGGGGGGGTGTACTGTTATTCCCATGTTAAAAATGAGGAATCTGAGACATGGAGAACCTAAGTTGTTTATCCTAGGTCACACAGCTAGTAAGAGGCTGAGCTGGCATCTGAGTTTAGGTAGTTTCAATCTATTGCCTTAGTTCTTAACGCACTTTTAAGGCATTTTTGGATTTTTGTAGAGGGTCACGAAAGCTGTCAGTGAGCTTTGAGTTTTTGATAAGATTTTTTTCAGTCCTCTGCAGTTTAATTGTATTTTATTTGAAATAATATGTATAGTTCATATTCTGATTATAGAAATAATGATTGCATATTGTAGACAAGAGAATATATGAAGTATAGAGAAAAAATTTACGCATAACCACAGAATGTAAAGATATTAATATTTTAATATTTTCCTGTTCGGTAGGTTTATTTTTGGATTTTCACTTCAGTTTTATAAAATAGATATTCTAGGTTTTATTTTCTCCTTAAGTTTTTACTTTGGGAATTTATAAGATATATTAATCTTAATAAGAATAAAATAATGAACCCATGGAACCATCATCCAGCTTCAACTCTTGTTAACATTTGTCAGTCTTACATTAACTCCCCCCTCCAATTTTTTTTAATTTCAGTATTTTAAAGCAAATCCCCAACTTTGAGTCAGTACGCTGGTGATTGACTGATTGTCATAACTGCCAAAATTTGATTATCATACATTGTTTATATCTAAGACCAAGACAAAGATGTTAGCAGCTACTCTAGGGTTTTCATTCTTTGCAGCTTGGAGAATGGGACTTCTTGAGAAATCTAGAGGACGCAAGAGCATTGCCCTTTGGAGAGGGATGGTGATGAATTTCATTTTCTCATGTAGAGTTTGTCTTGTAGCTCTTTGTTTCTTCTCTCTCTCTTTGCATACACTGAAAGTTCTTATGTTGCTGGGACCATGTCATATTTTTTTCTGTGTGCCCAGCACACAGTACAAGGTTGGCAAGGGTTTGTAGTTAGAATAGCTACTCAACAGACAGCTGGCATCAAGGGTTTGCAGTGCAGAATTCCTGAAATTGGAATTAAGTAGCAAAACAGGATAGAAATAACCCATGGAGATATTCCTTAATCTCCCTTAATATTGGTGAGCTATAGAATCCACCAACTATTTCAGAGTGTTGAAAAGTTGATGAGCAATTATTTTGATGTTCTAAAATTTGCTAAGAAACACATTGGTAGAAATGATAATAGCTAACATTTATAGACTGTGTTTTGTGAATGAGGCTGTGTTTCCCATGGTTTACAGATATTAACTTATTTCTCATAACAAACCTATTATTACCCTCATTTTACAGATGAGGAAACAGGTTTTTTAAAAACAATTATCATACAGTAAAACTGACTCTTTTTTTCCTTTTGGGGTACAATTCTATTAATTTTAACACAAGTATATATTTGTGTAATCACCACTGTCATCAGATACGGAACAATTCCCTCACCCCAAAAAACTCCCCTCCTATTTACCCTTTATAATCACCCCTCACCACACCTATAACTGCCAGCGACCACTATAACCCTATAGTTTTGTCTTTTTGAGCATATCGTGTAAATGGACTCACACCATACGTAACCTTTTGAGCCTGGATTCTTTCACTCAGCATATGCCTTTGACATTCATCCAAGTTGTTGTATGTAACACTGCTTCATTAATTTTTATTGCCAGTTAATATCACATTTATGGATATACCACAGTTTTATCCATTCACCCATTGAAGGATATTTGGGTTATTTCCAGTTTTTGGCAATTATGAATAAGCTAGTATAAACATCTGTGAACAGGTTTTTGTGCTTATTTCTCTAGCGTACATCACCAGGAATGGGATTGCTGGGTCATTTGGAAAGTGTATGTGTGACTTTATTAGAAACAGCCAAACTATTCCCCAGAGTATCTACCATTTTAGATTCCCACTAATGATGTATGAGAGTTCCAGTTGCGCCACATCCTTGTCAGCACTTAGTATTGTCTGCTTTTTTTTGTATTTTAGCCATTCTAATAGGTGTGTATTGGTATCTCATTGGGACTTTAGTTTACATTTCCCTAATGACTAATGATGTTCAGCAGACATATCTTTTCTACAGCTTATTTGCCATTCTTATACCTTGTTTGCTAAAGTGTTTGTTTGTATGTTTTGCCCAGTTTTAAACTGGGTAATTGGGTTGTGTTTTCCTTATTGTTGTTTTTTGAAAGTTATTTATATATTCTGAATACAAGTCATTCATCAGATATGTGATGTGCAAATATTTCTTCTCAGCCTATAGCTTGTCTTTTCTTTCACTTAACAGTGTGTTTTGCGGAGCAAAAGTTTTTAATTTTGATGAAGTCTGATTTATCAGTTTTCTTTTATTCATTGTGCTTTGTCATGTCTAAGAATTCTACCTAACCCCAAGTCATGAAGATTCTCTATTATGTTTTCTTCTAGAAGTTTTATAGTTTTATATTTAAATCTGTGATCCATTTTGAGTTAACTTTTTTATAATGTGGGAGTTAGGTTGAGGTTCATTTCTTTACATATGAATGACAGGTATCCCAACACCATTAGTTTGGGTTTATTTCTGTTAAATTGATCTACGTGTATATCCCTTCACCATTACCAAGCTGTCTTAATTACTGTAGCTTGATAGTAAGTCTTAAAATTGGGTAGTTTGGGGGCCGGCCTGGTGGCGTAGTAGTTAAGTGCGCACACTCTGCTGCAGTGGCCTGGGGTTCACAGGTTTGGATCCTGGGCACGGACCGACGCACCACTTGTCAAGCCATGCTGTGGTGGCATCCCATATAAAGTAGAGGAAGATGGGCATAGGTGTTAGCCCAGGGCCAATCTTCCTCAGCAAAAAGAGGAGGATTGGTAACGCATGTTAGCTCAGGGCTGGCCTTCCTCACACACACAAAAAAAGTTGGATAGTTTGATTCCTCCAACTTTATTCTTCTTTTTGAAAATTGTTTTACCTATTCTGGTTTCTTTGCCTTTCCATGTACATTTTGGAACAGCTTGTCTATATCTCCAAAAATTTCAGCTAGGGTTTTCATTCATGTTATGTTAAATCTACAGACCTCTACCATATTGAGTCCTCCAATCGCTGAATATAGTATGTCTCTCTGTTTATTTAAGAATTCAATTTCTTACATCCCCATTTTGTAGTTTTCTCCATACAGATCCTAATACATATTTTGTTTAGACTTGTTCCTAAGTGTATCATTTATTCTTTTGGAGCTATTGTAAGCTGTATTGTTTTTAAATTTTGGTTTCCAGTTGTACATTGCCAGTATGTTAGAACTACACATGACTTTTGTGTGTTGACCATGGATTCTCCAACTGTGCTAAACTCACTAGACATTTTGTTTTTTGGTAAAGTCCTTAGGATTTTCCATATAGACACACATGTTGTATATGAATAGGGTCAGTTTTATTTCGTTTCTAATGTGTATACTTTTTATTTCTTTTGTCTTGCCTCATCGCACTGGGTGATTTTCAGAACAATGTTGAATAGGAGTGGTGAGAATGGACATCTCTGCCTTCTTCCCAATCATAGGGGAAAGCATTTTATAAGTTCTCTTATATTATTAGTTTGTGAAAGTTTTCCATGAATGGATGTTGTATTTTGTCAAATCCTTTTCTGTGTTGTTTGATATTATTATTTTTCTTTCTTCTTTAGACTGTTAACATGATGGATTAGATTGATTAATTTCCAAATATTGAAGCAGCCTTTCATTTCCAGGATAAATCTCACTTGTAAGTGGTGTACTATTCCTTTTCTATATTGTTTGATTTGATTTGCTGGTGTTTTGTTGAGGATTTTTGCAATTATGTTCATGAGAGATATTGGTCTGCAGTTTCTTTTTTTGTACTGTGTTGGTCTAGTATCGGTAATTCTGGCCTTATAAAATGAGTTGGAAAGTGTTCCTTTTTCTTATATTTTCAGGAAGAGATTGTGTAGAATTAGTGTTATTTT